TTTACTATGCACCTTGGCTGGCTTTGTCTATTTTAGTTTTGACATTGAACAGCAGCAAATTCAGTTTCACTGTCTGTTTCACTTTCAAGGTCCCCAAATATGAGAGTTTCGAAGCCATTTGGGTGGTTGACATTAAAACCCCTGGATCTTAAATGTATTAACCTGTTCTAAAACCTACCTGTTGACCAAATTCCCGGGTTGTGTTTTTAGCACTGTAAGTAGTTGTTTCCCAGGTAGGCACTGGGAGTGTTCATGTGTCACTCTTGGGCAGACGTGACTTGAAGAAATCTTGGGTTAGAAAGTTGTACTGGATTCTGGATCCAAATGAGCGTACGGAGAGAGTTGTCAAAATACCGCTGCCCCGAGCACTCGTCCGCGTGTCCAGGAAGCCAGTGGAACTCTCCGGGGTAGCGCACAGCCCTGTTGGCTGCGTTCGAGTCCTTGCTACTATTTCATGTTTGCGAGCAGAGCGTCTCGGTCTGAGCCTAGAGGGGGGCTGGGTTCCGTGCTCCGGCCGAGGGCTGAGCAGTGCTGTCCAGTGCTAACGAGCGCATCCAGCAGCCAAGGCAATGGCACTACCTGGCCTAGAGCTGCGCACTTCGTGGAATTGGCAGACTGAGAGGTGGTGGCATGTGCCAGTGCCTGGGCGAGCAGTTCTCTCGCCAGATGGCCATTACCATCGGTGTCAGGCCGCCCTGGCCCCTTGCCCAGCCTGCAGTGGGTGTGGTTCTCTGAAGGGAATGGAATTGAGATTTGTAGGGGGCTGAGTAGCCTGAGCCCCCGTCATGGCTCCCTTCACTGCTCCCACCCCCCCGTGGGACTCCGAGTCCATAGGGTTCTGTGTTGGTGGCAGGGGCAGTGCCGGGCAGCTCCATGCATTTCGTTCCTACTCAGGGTCGGCCTGCCCGGCCCTAATGCTCCCCTGGGAGAGGGGTAGGGGATAGGGGGTTGGCTCCCGTAGTTCCTACCCCAGCCCTGCCCCTTCTCCTGAGCTCCTACCCAGCCTGTTCCGCTCCCTCTTCCTGCCTGCCCTGGAGTAGCACCTAGGCTTGTCCCCCGTATGGATGTGCTGAGGGCTCTGCAGGCCAGGACCATCCCATGTCCTGTGCTGGGAAGCCAGGCGTTCCAAACCCCGCTGCTTGTTCAATGCATGGCCAGGGCTGCTGTGCCCGCAGCTGGAGCTGCCCTCTTCCCAGGGCCCTGCGGGGCCATGCTGCCGCCACCTCGGCCATGGGTGACAGATCAAGCCAAGGCGCCTTTGGATTTTGCCCTGTGCTCTCCACAAGCCATTTCCTCACCTTCAGACAGACCGGGGCCTGCTGGCCCTGGGCCCAGCTCCGCTTTTAGCACTCCAACAAACGTCTCCCCTGTAGGGACGTCACAGTGCAGCCGAGAAGCCAAAGCTTACGGGTGAGTGCCATGGACTACCCCCCCCCCCCCTAGCCAAAAAAGGTTTTTGGGAGGCTGGCCAGCAGCCTGGCTCACGCCAGCTCCGGGACCCACCCCTGCTGCGGCTCTGCATTTCAAGTGTATTAGGAGCCAGGTGGGCAGGCAGCCCGGCTCAGTTCCGGTTCATGTCAGGTCTGGGCACAGACCCTCCCCCCATATCAGAGGCAGCAGCACAGGCAGGCGACAGGCAGCCGGTCTGCAAGAGGAGCTGGTTTTTAAACTGGCTCCCCTCGCGGACCAGCTCCCACCTGGCACCCCGCGGTGCAGCCGGCCCCGCCCCCGGGGACTACAGAATAATCAACTAGTCAATGAACTGATATTTAACACCCCTGCTGCACTGCCCGAGCCCTGGGTCTGCAATGTGAGTCTGGCACGGGGTCAGCCAGCGTTCCTAGCGTAGAGCCGTGTATGCAGCTTGACCGGAACCCGCTGCTCCCCCTCGCTGGCCTAGTGGGAAGGGTGCCCCTGCGTTGGCTTGAGTTAGTGCTAATGCTGCTCTGCACCATTTGTAACTCGGGCCGGGCAGGAGCCAGATCTCTCGGGCACAGCCCTTTGCCCGCTGATCCTTGTGAGCCCCTGCAAGGGGGCACTGCAGCCTCGGCCTGCTCCTAAGGCCTCGGGGACCGTTCTCTGGGCCTCCCCGGGCTGCACCCCACTGGGGACAGTTCTCTGCTGTTGTATGGCAAGGATGCAGGAGGGAGGGAGGGGGGGAGAACCACTGGCCAGATTTCCCCTCCCTTGGGTCCCGCTTCGCTGCGTGCTTCCCTCTTTCCTTCTGCCACTTAGAATGCGGGGCCGGCTTGCGTCTCTGGGGTGGGTGCGTGCCACCCTTCCCCTGCCCGTTGGCGCGTGGGGGGGGCCCAGCTGGAGAGGCGCTGAGGGCATTCATGGAGCGTAGGGGGACTACTGCCTGTGGCCACCCCCTCCTGTGCGTCCGTGGGCACGTCGGACCCCAGCGCCCAAGCAACACGCGGAGATGCTCTCCGAATGCGGGGCCGGCTTGCGTCTCTGGGGTGGGTGCGTGCCACCCTTCCCCTGCCCGTTGGCGCGTGGGGGGGGCCCAGCTGGAGAGGCGCTGAGGGCATTCATGGAGCGTAGGGGGACTACTGCCTGTGGCCACCCCCTCCTGTGCGTCCGTGGGCACGTCGGACCCCAGCGCCCAAGCAACACGCGGAGATGCTCTCCGGCGGGCTGGGCTAAGGGCTTGCCCGCTCTCGAGAGGCCTGTGTGGCGGT